CCCCGGACGCCCCAGAGCGTCGCGATGCTCTCCCCGGACGCCCCAGAGCGTCGCGATGCTCTCCCCGGATGCCCCAGAGCATCACGATGCTCTCCCCGGACGCCCCAGAGCGTCGCGATGCTCTCTTCGGACGCCCCAGAGTGTCGCGATGCTCTCCCCGGACGCCCCAGAGCGTCGCGATGCTCTCCCCGGACGCCCCAGAGCGTCCCGATGCTCTCCCTGGACGCCCCAGAGCGTCGCGATGCTCTCCCCGGACGCCCCAGCGCGTCGCGATGCTCTCCCCGGACGCCCCAGAGCGTCGCGATGCTCTCCCCGGACGCCCCAGAGCGTCGCTATGCTCTCCCCGGACGCCCCAGAGCGTCGCGATGCTCTACCCGGACGCCCCAAAGCGTCGCGATGCTCTCCCTAGACGCCCCAGAGCTGTTAGAGACTAAGGACGGAGTCTATGAAGATTAGATGCCTAAATTTCTCAAAATCGTTGGTCCCTATTTCTGGACAGAATAGTTGCGCTCACAAGAAACGCCGTCGACGAAAAGTGCACAGTCAAAACTTCACTAAACTCATATATGTTGTAGCCCTACTCCGTGGCTAGAATTCCCAAGTTAAAACGTATCAATAGGTGAAGTAAATCTCGACTTATCAATTTCGGCGCACAGGGGGGTATGCTGCCATAAGAACTTAACTCAATCACAAAGTTCACACAAGTTCACACAAGAGAATTAGAGTAGCACTAAACCAGGTGGAAGGGATAAGGAGGACGAGAGGGAAGGTCCCAAGAGAGTCCCCAACCAAGGAAACCCCATGCCATACAGTTCCCTTCCCCATAGGCAACCCAACTTTGACCTTTGTCACTATCCCAACCTCCACAATCCACCTCAACCCAACTTGGCCACACTTGCCAACCTGGTTTGGTTTCTCCCAACCATTTGGCAGCAACTACAGTAGAAAAGACGAATTTCCCAACCCCCAAAAGTCTGTACCCCATATTGAGTCAACCCCACAACTTCCCATAGTCACCACAACCAAATATCAGAAGCATACGAACTCCAACGTTCGTAACTTTCTAGTTCGTGCTCCGATTGAAGCGATACTTGGTTCCTCGGAAAGCTCTTGAGCAGAGGAGTCACTTCAGATATCTGCTCAAGCCAAATAACATTCACACACACACTCAGAAAAACCAAACCGCACAAAACACAAATTCTTGCACACACTCACAACACGCATGCAACGCACGAACATATGATGGGAGGCAGACAGACGTGAATGCGAATGGTAGCATCACTCAACAAACTCCCCCTCTGGCTGCCAACCATCATCCCACATGCCATAGCTCAAGCATGCATCCTCAATTCACACTCATCCCAGCAAGCTTCATGCCCTTCCAATGCTCAGATTCAGCCAGGCGCTTGGTGAGAATGTCAGCCGCCTGCTGATGGGTCTTCACAATCTCCAGCCGCACCTCCTTGTCCAGGAGCCTCCTCACCCAGTGCCACTTAGGCCTGATATGTTTGGTCAGCCCATGAAGACAAGCATTCTTCGCTAGCTTCAACCGCCGACTCATTGTCACAGAAAATCACAGTCGGCTCCCTCTGACCAACTCCAATCTCCTCCAACAAACGCCTCAGCCACACCACCTCCTTTGCCCCATGATGCAGGGCCATGTACTCTGTCTCACACGAGGACTGCCCCACCTCATTCTGCTTCTTACTGCGCCAGCTCACTGCACCACCTCCGAACAGGCACACATAGCCTCCAATGCTGGTGCCATCCGCTTTCACCGAGTTGAAGCTAGCGTCAGTGTAGCAGGTCAGGAGCATCTCCCCCTTGCTCAAATCAGCTGCACTCCTCTGCAGCCTCTGCCTCACAGCACTGTACTCCAAACCCACTGATGTCGTTGCACTCACATAGCGGACCAACCTCTTGGCCGCTTCCAGCTGCTCATGACTGGGGCGTGAAACCACACTGGCAAGCCTCGATGTTGCAAAGGCAATGTCAGGCCGTGTGTGGTTAGCCGCATAGTTGAGTGCCCCAACCATGGAATGAAAAAGTTTCCTGTCACTCTCACCCACCACCTCCTCATCAGCACAGGGCTCCACAGTGAACCCCGAAGGCAGTGGGGTCTCTGGCTTTCCTCCATCTTGCAGCCCATACTTCTCAGCCAGCCCCTCACAATACTTTCTCTGGTGCAACCTCAACACTCCCTTGTCAAGGTCCCTCTCCACATGCATCCCTAAATAGTACTTCACATCTCCCATCTTGGAGCACTTAAACTGCATCTCCAGCATCTCCTCCACATGCTCAATCATTGCAGACGACTCAGAGAAGAGCAGGATGTCATCCACATACACCAGGAGCATGAGAAACTGCTCCTTCTCCTGCAGCAGGAACAAGCTGTGATCACACTCACTCTTCTTGAAACCCCCAGCCAGCAGAGTCCCCTCTAACTTGTGGTACCATGCACGAGGAGCCTGCTTCAGGCCATAGATGGCCTTCTTCAGCCTGCACACCCTGCCGCTCCCATCATCCAAACCCTCAGGCTGTAACATGTACAGCTCCTCCAGAATGATCCCATTGAGGAAGGCGGTGGTGATGTCCATCTGCTTCACCCGCCATCCACGGTTTGCTGCCATTGCCAATGACACCCGAAGTGTTGTGCCTTTCCCCACAGGAGCATAGAGCTCGTTGAAGTCCTTTCCCTTTGTCTGCTGAAACCCCTTAGCCACAAGCCTTGACTTGTAGCGGGTCAGCGCCCCATCAGGTCCGTACTTGTGCCTGAAAATCAGCTTGGAAGAAATGGCCTTCTTCCCAGGTGGCAGCTCACACAGCTCCCACGTCTCATTCTCTAGCAGAGAATCATACTCCTCCTTCACACTCTGCTTCCACTTTTCAGCATCGGGCCCGCTCAATGCCTCAGCTAGCGTCTTGGGCTCAGGGACGGCTGCCCAGTAGCAGTGTGCTATCTCATCCTCATCACACTGCTCAGCCACACTCCCAGCCCTTACCACCTTTGGCTTGCCACGGCTTGCATAGGTCAGCCTGTTAGGAGGGCGCACATCCCTCCTAGGACGGTCAGCCGTACGTCCGGCACCTTGTGGAGCACCTTGCTCCTCCTGCTGCTGCGGCTGCTGCTGCTGTTGCTGCTGCTGCTGCTCCTCCACCTCAGGTTCTCCCCCATCCTCTGTCACCCCAGAGATCTCATTCTCAGAGACAGAAACCTCCACTTGCCTTGAAGGCCGCTGCACCTCATCGGCCTCGACAATTAGCGGTGTCGTTGGAAGCTTCTGCTGCTGCTGCTTCCACTCCTTGTAGTACAAGGACTCAAGGAACTTCACATCCCTTGACACAGTCAGCTGCTGGCTGGTCAAGTCCCAAATCAGCCAGCCCTTGTGATCCTTAGCAAGCCCCAAGTGCACACCCCATCTCCCAGAAGCTTCCAGTTTTCCCCTCTTCTCCTTAGGCACATGAAACACTACCATGCACCCAAAGGCTCTCAGCATGTTCACAGCTGGTGCAATCCCATACCACTTGGTGTAGGGGACCCACTGCTTGTCCCCCACAGTCGCCAGCACCCTGTTCTTCACAACAACGACCTGCCGCAGTGCTGTCACCCAAAACGGATCCGGCAGCCCTGCACGCCCAAGGAGAGTGCGAGCACCTTCCTGCAGGGTCCGGTTGAACCGCTCAGCCACGCCATTCTGCTGAGGGTTGTAAGGCACTGTGAGCTGATGCTGGATCCCCTTCCGCTTCAGCTCCTTCTCAAAATCAGCGCCGATGAACTCTCCTCCGTTGTCAGTGCGGATCACCTTCACCTTGTGTCCGCTTTCCCTTTGTGCTCTCGGCATCCACTCCTTAAGAACAGCCGCTGCCACCTCCCCCTTAGTCTTGAGAGGGTACACCCACACCGCACGCGTGTGGTCGTCCACAATCGTCAAGAAGTAGCGGCTGCCCGAGAGAGAAAGGGCCCTCGTGGGGCCCACCACATCCATGTGCACTAGTGCAAGTGGTGCCTTGGCTGGTCCTGTGCTGCTGCTGAAGGGAAACTTCGTGAATTTGGTCTCAAGGCAGGTAGGGCAGCTCCCAATCTCCTTTGCTCCCCCCTTCACCTCCAGCCCCTTCAAGCACCCATCCTTTACCAACTTCTGCAGCATAGGAATGTTCACATGGCACAGCCTCTCATGCCACGTCTCCCAATCAGCCTCACCACTCCCAGATGAAGCCTTTGCCCATGCAGCTGTCGCATCCACACCAGCAAGCACCTCACCATGTGGCTGTTGTGGCTGCTGCACCTTCTTGACTGCATCCAGGGCCCCAGCAGTTGGTGCAGTCTCCTCTCCTCCCGCAGTTGCTTTAGCCGCTGCCGCTGCCTTTGCCGTTGCTGGTGGTTTCCCCTTCCAAGGGATGATGGGCAGCTGCCACAAGTCCTTGATGCAGCTGCTCTTCTCCTCCAAGTTCCACAGCAGCAACTTCCCAAGCTTTGCACGGCAGCTGGTTGGGCCGAAGGTAACTTCAGCCTTGCTCTTCTGCAGCCGGCGCACAGAAAGAAGGTTAGCGGACAAACCTTCAACCAACAGCACATTCCCAAGCCCCACAAGCTCTCCATTGGCTCCCATCACCTTGGCATTCCCAACACCAATCACAGGGAGCAAAGCACCTGAAGCGGCAGCCACAAACTTGATCTTCCCAGGAGGTTTTACCTCATCAAGCAAATCTGCCCGTGGGGTCATATGACTCGTGCAACCTGAATCGATCACCCAGTGAGTGAGGGGGTGCATCACAACCTTCCCAACTGAACCGACATCACCCCCACTCCCTTGCACATCCTCAACCATGAGGAACATCCCACATCCTAAACCAGGAGTCTGGGGAGAGCATCGCGACGCTTTGGGGCGTCCGGGTGGAGCATCGCGACGCTCTGGGGCGTTCGGGGAGAGCGTCGCGATGCTCTCCCCGAACGCCCCAGAGCGTCGCGATGCTCTCCCCGGACGCCCCAGAGCGTCGCGATGCTCTCCCCGGACGCCCCAGAGCGTCGCGATGCTCTCCCCGGACGCCCCAGAGCGTCGCGATGCTCTCCCCGGACGCCCCAGAGCATCGCGATGCTCTCCCCGGACGCCCCAGAGCGTCGCGATGCTCTCCCCCGGACGCCCCAGAGCGTTGCTATGCTCTCCCCGGACGCCCCCAGAGCGTCGCGATGCTCTCCCCGAACGCCCCAGAGCGTCGCGATGCTCTCCCCGGACGCCCCAGAGCGTCACGATGCTCTCCCCGGACGCCCCAGAGCGTCGCGATGCTCTACCCGGACGCCCCAGAGCGTCGCGATGCTCTCCCCGGACGCCCCAGAGCATCGCGATGCTCTCCCCGGACGCCCCAGAGCGTCGCGATGCTCTCCCCGGATGCCCCAGAGCGTCGCGATGCTCTCCCCGGACCCCCCAAAGCGTCGCTATGCTCTCCCCGGACGCCCCAGAGCGTCGCGATGCTCTCCCCGGACGCCCCAGAGCGTCGCGATGCTCTCCCCGGACGACCCAGAGCGTCGCGATGCTCTCCCGAAACGCCCCAGAGCATCGCGATGCTCTCTCCGGACGCCCCAGAGCGTCGCGATGCTCTCCCCGGACGCCCCAGAGCGTCGCGATGCTCTCCCCGGACTCCCTAGAGCGTCGCGATGCTCTACCCGGACGCCCCAGAGCGTCGCGATGCTCTCCCCAGCCGCCCCAGAGCGTCGTGATGCTCTCCCCGGACGCCGGAGAGCGTCGCGATGCTCTCCCCGGACGCCCCAGAGCGTCGCTATGCTCTCCCCGGACGCCCCAGAGCGTCGCGATGCTCTCCCTCGGACGCCCCAGAGCATCGCGATGCTCTCTCCGGACGCCCCAGAGCATCGCGATACTTTCCCCGGAAGCCCCGGAGCGTCGCGATGCTCTCCCCGGACGCCCCAGAGCGTCGCGATGCTCTACCCGGACGCCCCAGAGCATCGCGATGCTCTCCCCAGCCGCCCCAGAGCATTGCGATGCTCTACCCGGACACCCCAGAGCGTCGCGATGCTCTCCCCAGCCGCCCCAGTGCGTCGTGATGCTCTCCCCGGACGCCCTAGAGCGTCGCGATGCTCTCCCCCGGACGCCCCAGAGCGTCGCCATGCTCTCCCCGGATGCCCCAGAGTGTCGCGATGCTCTCCCCGGACGCCCCAGAGCGTCGTAATGCTCTCCGCGGACGCCCCAGAGCGTCGCGATGCTCTCCCCGGACGCCCTAGAGCGTCGCGATGCTCTCCCCGGACGCCCCAGAGCATCGCGATGCTCTCCCCGGACGCCCCAGAGCGTCGCAATGCTCTCCCCGGACGCCCCAGAGCGTCGCGATGCTCTCCCCGGACGCCCCAGAGCGTTGCGATGCTCTCCTCGGACGCCCCAGAGCGTCGCGATGCTCTCCCCGGACGCCCCAGAGCGTCGCGATGCTCTCCCCGGACGCCCCAGAGCGTCGCTATGCTCTCTCCGGACGCCCCAGAGCGTCGCGATGCTCTACCCGGACGCCCCAGAGCGTCGCGATGCTCTCCCCCGGACGCCCCAACGCGTCGTGATGCTCTCCCCGGACGCCCCAGAGCGTCGCGATGCTCTCCCCGAACGCCCCAGAGCGTCGCGATGCTCTCCCCGGACGCCCCAGAGCGTCGCGATGCTCTCCCCGGACGCCCCAGAGCGTCGCGATGCTCTCCCCGGACGCCCCAGAGCATCGCGATGCTCTCCCCGGACGCCCCAGAGCGTCGCGATGCTCTCCCCGGACGCCCCAGAGCGTCGCGATGCTCTCCCCGGACGCCCCAGAGCGTCGCGATGCTCTCCCCGGACGCCCCAGAGCGTCCCGATGCTCTCCCTGGACGCCCCAGAGCGTCGCGATGCTCTCCCCGGACGCCCCAGCGCGTCGCGATGCTCTCCCCGGACGCCCCAGAGCGTCGCGATGCTCTCCCCGGACGCCCCAGAGCGTCGCTATGCTCTCCCCGGACGCCCCAGAGCGTCGCGATGCTCCACCCGGACGCCCCAAAGCGTCGCGATGCTCTCCCCAGACTCCCCAGAGCGTTGTGATGCTCTCCCCGGACGCCCCAGAGCGTCGCGATGCTCTCCCCGGACGCCCCAGAGCGTCGCGATGCTCTCCCCGGACGCCCCAGAGCGTCGCGATGCTCTCCCCGGACGCCCCAGAGCATCGCGATGCTCTCCCCGGACGCCCCAGAGCGTCGCGATGCTCTCCCCGGACGCCCCAGAGCGTTGCTATGCTCTCCCCGGACGCCCCAGAGCGTCGCGATGCTCTCCCCGAACGCCCCAGAGCGTCGCGATGCTCTCCCTGGACGCCCCAGAGCGTCACGATGCTCTCCTCGGACGCCCCAGAACGTCGCGATGCTCTACCCGGACGCCCCAGAGCGTCGCGATGCTCTCCCCGGACGCCCCAGAGCGTCCCGATGCTCTCCCTGGACGCCCCAGAGCGTCGTGATGCTCTCCCCGGACGCCCCAGCGCGTCGCGATGCTCTCCCCGGACGCCCCAGAGCGTCGCGATGCTCTCCCCGGACGCCCCAGAGCGTCGCTATGCTCTCCCCGGACGCCCCAGAGCGTCGCGATGCTCTCCCCGGACGCCCCAGAGCGTCGCTATGCTCTCCCCGGACGCCCCAGAGAGTCGCCATGCTCTCCCCGGATGCCCCAGAGCGTCGCGATGCTCTCCCCGGACGCCCCAGAGCGTCTTGATGCTCTCCGCGGACGCCCCAGAGCGTCGCGATGCTCTCCCCGGACGCCCTAGAGCGTCGCGATGCTCTCCCCGGACGCCCCAGAGCATCGCGATGCTCTCCCCGGACGCCCCAGAGCGTCGCGATGCTCTCCCCGGACGCCCCAGAGTGTCGCGATGCTCTCCCCGGACGCCCCAGAGCGTCGCGATGCTCTCCCCGGACGCCCTAGAGCGTTGCGATGCTCTCCCCGGACGCCCAAGAGCGTCGCTATGCTCTCCCCGGACGCCCCAGAGCGTCGCGATGCTCTCCCCGGACGCCCCAGAGCGTCGCGATGCTCTCCCCGGACGCCCCAGAGCGTCGCTATGCTCTCCCCGGACGCCCCAGAGCGTCGCGATGCTCTCCCCGGACGCCCCAGAGCGTCGCTATGCTCTCCCCGAACGCCCCAGAGCGTCGCGATGCTCTACCCGGACGCCCCAAAGCGTCGCGATGCTCTCCCTAGACGCCCCAGAGCGTCGTGATGCTCTCCCCCGGACGCCCCAGAGCGTCGCGATGCTCTCCCCGGACGCCCCAGAGCGTCGCGATGCTCTCCCCGGACGCCCCAGAGCGTCACGATGCTCTCCCCGGACGCCCCAGAGCATCGCGATGCTCTCCCCGGACGCCCCAGAGCGTCGCGATGCTCTCCCCGGACGCCCCAGAGCGTTGCTATGCTCTCCCCGGACGCCCCAGAGCGTCGCGATGCTCTCCCCGAACGCCCCAGAGCGTCGCGATGCTCTCCCCGGACGCCCCAGAGCGTCATGATGCTCTCCCCCGGACGCCCCAGAGCGTCGCGATGCTCTACCCCGGACGCCCCAGAGCGTCGCGATGCTCTCCCCGGACGCCCCAGAGCATCGCGATGCTCTCCCCCGGACGCCCCAGAGCGTCGCGATGCTCTCCCCGGATGCCCCAGAGCGTCGCGATGCTCTCCCCGGACCCCCCAAAGCGTCGCTATGCTCTCCCCGGACGCCCCAGAGCGTCGCGATGCTCTCCCCGGACGCCCCAGAGCGTCGCGATGCTCTCCCCGGACGACCCAGAGCGTCGCGATGCTCTCCCGAAACGCCCCAGAGCATCGCGATGCTCTCTCCGGACGCCCCAGAGCGTCGCGATGCTCTCCCCGGACGCCCCAGAGCGTCGCGATGCTCTCCCCGGACTCCCTAGAGCGTCGCGATGCTCTACCCGGACGCCCCAGAGCGTCGCGATGCTCTCCCCAGCCGCCCCAGAGCGTCGTGATGCTCTCCCCGGACGCCCGAGAGCGTCGCGATGCTCTCCCCGGACGCCCCAGAGCGTCGCTATGCTCTCCCCGGACGCCCCAGAGCGTCGCGATGCTCTTCTCGGACGCCCCAGAGCATCGCGATGCTCTCTCCGGACGCCCCAGAGCATCGCGATACTTTCCCCGGAAGCCCCGGAGCGTCGCGATGCTCTCCCCGGACGCCCCAGAGCGTCGCGATGCTCTACCCGGACGCCCCAGAGCATCGCGATGCTCTCCCCAGCCGCCCCAGAGCATTGCGATGCTCTACCCGGACGCCCCAGAGCGTCGCGATGCTCTCCCCAGCCGCCCCAGAGCGTCGTGATGCTCTCCCCGGACGCCCTAGAGCGTCGCGATGCTCTCCCCGGACGCCCCAGAGCGTCGCCATGCTCTCCCCGGATGCCCCAGAGCGTCGCGATGCTCTCCCCGGACGCCCCAGAGCGTCGTGATGCTCTCCGCGGACGCCCCAGAGCGTCGCGATGCTCTCCCCGGACGCCCTAGAGCGTCGCGATGCTCTCCCCGGACGCCCCAGAGCATCGCGATGCTCTCCCCGGACGCCCCAGAGCGTCGCGATGCTCTCCCCGGACGCCCCTGAGTGTCGCGATGCTCTCCCCGGACGCCCCAGAGCGTCGCGATGCTCTCCCCGGACGCCGCAGAGCGTTGCGATGCTCTCCCCGGACGCCCCAGAGCGTCGCTATGCTCTCTCCGGACGCCCCAGAGCGTCGCGATGCTCTCCCCGGACGCCCCAGAGCGTCGCGATGCTCTCCCCGGACGCCCCAGAGCGTCGCCATGCTCTCCCCGGACGCCCCAGAGCGTCGCGATGCTCTACCCGGACGCCCCAGAGCATCGCGATGCTCTCCCCGGACGCCCCAGAGCGTCGCGATGCTCTCCCCGGACGCCCCAGAGCGTCGCGATGCTCTCCCCGGACGCCCCAGAGCGTCGCGATGCTCTCCCCGGACGCCCCAGAGCATCGCGATGCTCTCCCCCGGACGCCCCAGAGCGTCGCGATGCTCTCCCCGGACGCCCCAGAGCGTTGCTATGCTCTCCCCGGACGCCCCAGAGCGTCGCGATGCTCTCCCCGAACGCCCCAGAGCGTCGCGATGCTCTCCCCGGACGCCCCAGAGCGTCACGATGCTCTCCCCGGACGCCCCAGAGCGTCGCGATGCTCTACCCCGGACGCCCCAGAGCGTCGCGATGCTCTCCCCGGACGCCCCAGAGCATCGCGATGCTCTCCCCGGACGCCCCAGAGCATCGCGATGCTCTCACCCGGACGCCCCAGAGCGTCCCGATGCTCTCCCTGGACGCCCCAGAGCGTCGCGATGCTCTCCCCGGACGCCCCAGCGCGTCGCGATGCTCTCCCCGGACGCCCCAGAGCGTCGCGATGCTCTCCCCGGACGCCCCAGAGCGACGCTATGCTCTCCCCGGACGCCCCAGAGCGTTGCGATGCTCTACCCGGACGCCCCAGAGCGTCGCGATGCTCTCCCCGGACGCCCCAGAGCGTCGTGATGCTCTCCCCGGACGCCCCAGAGCGTCGCGATGCTCTCCTCGGACGCCCCAGAGCATCGCGATGCTCTCTCCGGACGCCCCAGAGCATCGCGATACTTTCCCCGGAAGCCCCGGAGCGTCGCGATGCTCTCCCCGGACGCCCCAGAGCGTCGCGATGCTCTACCCGGACGCCCCAGAGCATCGCGATGCTCTCCCCAGCCGCCCCAGAGCATTGCGATGCTCTACCCGGACGCCCCAGAGCGTCGCGATGCTCTCCCCAGCCGCCCCAGAGCGTCGTGATGCTCTCCCCGGACGCCCTAGAGCGTCGCGATGCTCTCCCCGGACGCCCCAGAGCGTCGCCATGCTCTCCCCGGATGCCCCAGAGCGTCGCGATGCTCTCCCCGGACGCCCCAGAGCGTCGTGATGCTCTCCGCGGACGCCCCAGAGCGTCGCGATGCTCTCCCCGGACGCCCTAGAGCGTCGCGATGCTCTCCCCGGACGCCCCAGAGCATCGCGATGCTCTCCCCGGACGCCCCAGAGCGTCGCGATGCTCTCCCCGGACGCCCCAGAGTGTCGCGATGCTCTCCCCCGGACGCCCCAGAGCGTCGCGATGCTCTCCCCGACGCCGCAGAGCGTTGCGATGCTCTCCCCGGACGCCCCAGAGCGTCGCTATGCTCTCCCCGGACGCCCCAGAGCGTCGCGATGCTCTCCCCGGACGCCCCAGAGCGTCGCGATGCTCTCCCCGGACGCCCCAGAGCGTCGCCATGCTCTCCCCGGACGCCCCAGAGCGTCGCGATGCTCTACCCCGGACGCCCCAGAGCGTCGCGATGCTCTCCCCGGACGCCCCAGAGCGTCGCGATGCTCTCCCCGGACGCCCCAGAGCGTCGCGATGCTCTCGCCCGGACGCCCCAGAGCGTTGTTATGCTCTCCCCGGACTCCCCAGAGCGTCGCGATGCTCTCCCCGAACGCCCCAGAGCGTCGCGATGCTCTCCCCGGACGCCCCAGAGCGTCACGATGCTCTCCCCGGACGCCCCAGAGCGTCGCGATGCTCTACCCGGACGCCCCAGAGCGTCGCGATGCTCTCCCCGGACGCCCCAGAGCATCGCGATGCTCTCCCCGGACGCCCCAGAGCGTCGCGATGCTCTCCCCGGACGCCCCAGAGCGTCCCGATGCTCTCCCTGGACGCCCCAGAGCGTCGCGATGCTCTCCCCCGGACGCCCCAGCGCGTCGCGATGCTCTCCCCGGACGCCCCAGAGCGTCGCGATGCTCTCCCCGGACGCCCCAGAGCGTCGCGATGCTCTCCCCGGACGCCCCAGAGCGTCGCTATGCTCTCCCCGGACGCCCCAGAGCGTCGCGATGCTCTACCCGGACGCCCCAGAGCGTCGCGATGCTCTCCCCGGACGCCCCAGAGCGTCGCGATGCTCTACCCGGACGCCCCAGAGCGTCGCGATGCTCTCCCCGGACGCCCCAGAGCGTCGTGATGCTCTCCCCGGACGCCCCAGAGCGTCGCGATGCTCTCCCCGGACGCCCCAGAGCATCGCGATGCTCTCCCCGGACGCCCCAGAGCGTCGCGATGCTCTCACCCGGACGCCCCAGAGCGTTGCTATGCTCTCCCCGGACGCCCCAGAGCGTCGCGATGCTCTCCCCGAACGCCCCAGAGCGTCGCGATGCTCTCCCCGGACGCCCCAGAGCGTCACGATGCTCTCCCCGGACGCCCCAGAGCGTCGCGATGCTCTACCCGGACGCCCCAGAGCGTCGCGATGCTCTCCCCGGACGCCCCAGAGCATCGCGATGCTCTCCCCGGACGCCCCAGAGCGTCGCGATGCTCTCCCCGGACGCCCCAGAGCGTCCCGATGCTCTCCCTGGACGCCCCAGAGCGTCGCGATGCTCTCCCCGGACGCCCCAGCGCGTCGCGATGCTCTCCCCGGACGCCCCAGAGCGTCGCGATGCTCTCCCCGGACGCCCCAGAGCGTCGCTATGCTCTCCCCGGACGCCCCAGAGCGTCGCGATGCTCTACCCGGACGCCCCAGAGCGTCGCGATGCTCTCCCCGGACGCCCCAGAGCGTCGTGATGCTCTCCCCGGACGCCCCAGAGCATCGCGATGCTCTCCCCGGACGCCCCAGAGCGTCGCGATGCTCTCCCCGGACGCCCCAGAGCGTCCCGATGCTCTCCCTGGACGCCCCAGAGCGTCGCGATGCTCTCCCCGGACGCCCCAGCGCGTCGCGATGCTCTCCCCCGGACGCCCCAGAGCGTCGCGATGCTCTCCCCGGACGCCCCACAGCGTCGCTATGCTCTCCCCGGACGCCCCAGAGCGTCGCGATGCTCTACCCGGACGCCCCAGAGCGTCGCGATGCTCTCCCCGGACGCCCCAGAGCGTCGCGATGCTCTCCCCGGACGCCCCAGCACGTCGTGATGCTCTCCCCGGACGCCCCAGAGCGTCGCGATGCTCTCCCCGAACGCCCTAGAGCGTCGCGATGCTCTACCCGGACGCCCCAGAGCGTCGCGATGCTCTCCCCGGACGCCCCAGCGCGTCGTGATGCTCTCCCCGGACGCCCCAGAGCGTCGCGATGCTCTCCCCGAACGCCCCAGAGCGTCGCGATGCTCTCCCCGGACGCCTCAGAGCGTCGCGATGCTCTCCACCGGACGCCCCAGAGCGTCGCGATGCTCTCCCCGGACGCCCCAGAGCATCGCGATGCTCTCCCCCGGACGCCCCAGAGCGTCGCGATGCTCTCTTCGGACGCCCCAGAGCGTCGCGATGCTCTCCCCGGACGCCCCAGAGCGTCGCGATGCTCTCCCCGGACGCCCCAGAGCGTCCCGATGCTCTCCCTGGACGCCCCAGAGCGTCGCGATGCTCTCCCCGGACGCCCCAGCGCGTCGCGATGCTCTCCCCCGGACGCCCCAGAGCGTCGCGATGCTCTCCCCGGACGCCCCAGAGCGTCGCTATGCTCTCCCCGGACGCCCCAGAGCGTCGCGATGCTCTACCCGGACGCCCCAAAGCGTCGCGATGCTCTCCCTAGACGCCCCAGAGCGTCGTGATGCTCTCCCCGGACGCCCCAGAGCGTCGCGATGCTCTCCCCCGGACGCCCCGGAGCGTCGCGATGCTCTCCCCGGACGCCCCAGAGCGTCGCGATGCTCTCCCCGGACGCCCCAGAGCATCGCGATGCTCTCCCCGGACGCCCCAGAGCGTCGCGATGCTCTCCCCGGACGCCCCAGAGCGTTGCTATGCTCTCCCCGGACGCCCCAGAGCGTCGCGATGCTCTCCCCGAACGCCCCAGAGCGTCGCGATGCTCTCCCCGGACGCCCCAGAGCGTCACGATGCTCTCCCCGGACGCCCCAGAGCGTCGCGATGCTCTACCCGGACGCCCCAGAGCGTCGCGATGCTCTCCCCGGACGCCCCAGAGCATCGCGATGCTCTCCCCGGACGCCCCAGAGCGTCGCGATGCTCTCCCCGGATGCCCCAGAGCGTCGCGATGCTCTCCCCGGACCCCCCCAAAGCGTCGCTATGCTCTCCCCGGACGCCCCAGAGCGTCGCGATGCTCTCCCCGGACGCCCCAGAGCGTCGCGATGCTCTCCCCCGGACGACCCAGAGCGTCGCGATGCTCTCCCGAAACGCCCCAGAGCATCGCGATGCTCTCTCCCGGACGCCCCAGAGCGTCGCGATGCTCTCCCCGACGCCCCAGAGCGTCGCGATGCTCTCCCCGGACTCCCTAGAGCGTCGCGATGCTCTCCCCAGCCGCCCCAGAGCGTCGTGATGCTCTCCCCGGACGCCCGAGAGCGTCGCGATGCTCTCACCCGGACGCCCCAGAGCGTCGCTATGCTCTCCCCGGACGCCCCAGAGCGTCGCGATGCTCTCCTTGGACGCCCCAGAGCATCGCGATGCTCTCTCCGGACGCCCCAGAGCATTGCGATACTTTCCTCGGAAGCCCCGAAGCGTCGCGATGCTCTCCCCGGACGCCCCAGAGCGTCGCGATGCTCTACCCGGACGCCCCAGAGCATCGCGATGCTCTCCCCAGCCGCCCCAGAGCATTGCGATGCTCTACCCGGACGCCCCAGAGCGTCGCGATGCTCTCCCCAGCCGCCCCAGAGCGTCGTGATGCTCTCCCCGGACGCCCTAGAGCGTCGCGATGCTCTCCCCGGACGCCCCAGAGCGTCGCCATGCTCTCCCCAGATGCCCCAGAGCGTCGCGATGCTCTCCCCGGACGCCCCAGAGCGTCGTGATGCTCTCCGCGGACGCCCCAGAGCGTCGCGATGCTCTCCCCGGACGCCCTAGAGCGTCGCGATGCTCTCCCCGGACGCCCCAGAGCATCGCGATGCTCTCCCCGGACGCCCCAGAGCGTCGCGATGCTCTCCCCGGACGCCCCAGAGTGTCGCGATGCTCTCCCCGGACGCCCCAGAGCGTCGCGATGCTCTCCCCGGACGCCCCAGAGCGTTGCGATGCTCTCCCCGGACGCCCCAGAGCATCGCTATGCTCTCCCCGGACGCCCCAGAGCGTCGCGATGCTCTCCCCCGGACGCCCCAGAGCGTCGCGATGCTCTCCCCGGACGCCCAGAGCGTCGCTATGCTCTCCCCGGACGCCCCAGAGCGTCGCGATGCTCTACCCGGACGCCCCAGAGCGTCGCGATGCTCTCCCCGGACGCCCCAGAGCGTCGTGATGCTCTCCCCGGACGCCCCAGAGCGTCGCGATGCTCTCCCCGGACGCCCCAGAGCGTCGCGATGCTCTCCCCGGACGACCCAGAGCGTCGCGATGCTCTCCCGGAACGCCCCAGAGCATCGCGATGCTCTCTCCGGACGCCCCAGAGCGTCGCGATGCTCTCCCTGGACGCCCCAGAGCGTCCAATGCTCTCCCCGGACTCCCTAGAGCGTCGCGATGCTCTACCCGGACGCCCCAGAGCGTCGCGATGCTCTCCCCAGCCGCCCCAGAGCGTCAATGATGCTCTCCACCGTACGCCCGAGGAGCGTCGCGATGCTCTCCCCGGACGCCCCAGAGCGTCGCTATGCTCTCCCCGGACGCCCCAGAGCGTCGCGATGCTCTCCCCGGACGCCCCAGAGCATCGCGATGCTCTCTCCGGACGCCCCAGAGCATCGCGATACTTTCCCCGGAAGCCCCGAAGCGTCGCGATGCTCTCCCCGGACGCCCTAGAGCGTCGCGATGCTCTACCCGGACGCCCCAGAGAGCATCGCGATGCTCTACCCGAACGCCCCAGAGCGTCGCGATGCTCTCCCCAGCCGCCCCAGAGAGTCGTGATGCTCTCCCCGGACGCCCTAGAGCGTCGCGATGCTCTCCCCGGACGCCCCAGAGCGTCGCGATGCTCTCCCCGGATGCCCCAGAGCGTCGCGATGCTCTCCCCGGACGCCCCAGAGCGTCGTGATGCTCTCCGCGGACGCCCCAGAGCGTCGCGATGCTCTCCCCGGACGCCCCAGAGCGTCGCGATGCTCTCCCCGGACGCCCCAGAGCATCGCGATGCTCTCCCCGGACGCCCCACAGCGTCGCGATGCTCTCCCCGGACGCCCCAGAGTGTCGCGATGCTCTCCCCCGGACGCCCCAGAGCGTCGCGATGCTCTACCCGGACGCCCCAGAGCGTCGCGATGCTCTCCACAGCCGCCCCAGAGCGTCGTGATGCTCTCCCCGGACGGCCCAGAGCGTTGCGATGCTCTCCCAGGACGCCCCAGAGCGTCGCGATGCTCTCCCCGGACGCCCCAGAGCGTCGCGATGCTCTCCCTGGACGCCCCAGAGCGTCGCGATGCTCTCCCCGGACGCCCCAGAGCGTCGCGATGCTCTCCCCGGACGCCCCAGAGCGTCGCGATGCTCTCCCCGGACGCCCCAGCGCGTCGCGATGCTCTCCCCGGACGCCCCAGAGCGTCGCGATGCTCTCCTCGGACGCCCCAGAGCGTCGCTATTCTCTCCCCGGACGCCCCAGAGCGTCGCGATGCTCTACCCAGACGCCCCAGAGCGTCGCGATGCTCTCCCGGGACGCCCCAGAGCGTCGTGATGCTCTCCCCGGACGCCCCAGAGCGTGGCGATGCTCTCTCCGAACGCCCCAGAGCGTCGCGATGCTCTACCCGGACGCCCCAGAGCTTCGCGATGCTATTCCCGGACTCCCCAGCACGTCGTGATGCTCTCCCCGGAGGCCCCAGAGCGTCGCGATGCTCTCCCCGAACGCCCCAGAGCGTCGCGATGCTCTCCCCGGACGGCCCCAGAGCGTCGCGATGCTCTCCCCGGACGCCCCAGAGCATCGCGATGCTCTCACCGGACGCCCCAGAGCATCGCGATGCTCTCCCCGGACGCCGCAGAGCGTCGCGATGCTCTCCCCGGACGCCCCAGAGCGTCGCGATGCTCTCCCCCGGACGCCCCAGAGCGTCGCTATGCTCTCCCCGGACGCCCCAGAGCGTCGCGAATGCTCTCCCCGGACGCCCCCAGAGCGTCGCGATGCAATCCCCGGACGCCCCAGAGCGTCGCTATGCTCTCCCCGGACGCCCCAGAGCGTCGCGATGCTCTACCCCGGACGCCCCAGAGCGTCGCGATGCTCTCCCCGGACGCCCCAGAGCGTCGCTATGCTCTCCCCGGACGCCCCAGAGCGTCGCGATGCTCTCCCCGGACGCCCCAGAGCGTCGCTATGCTCTCCCCGGACGCCCCAGAGCGTCGCGATGCTCTACCCAGACATTCCAGAGCGTCGCGATGCTCTCCCCGGACGCCCCTGAGCGTCGCGATGCTCATCCCCCCGAACGCCCCAGAGCGTCGCGATGCTCTCCCCGGACGCCCCCAGAGCGTCGCGATGCTCTCCCCGGACGCCCCAGAGCGTCGCGATGCTCTACCCCGGACGCCCCAGAGCGTCGCGATGCTCTCCCCAGCCGGCCCAGAGCGTCGTGATGCTCTCCCCGGACGCCCCAGAACGTCGCGACGCTCTCCTAGAACGCCCCAGAGCATCGTGACGCTATCCTCGAACGCCCCAGAGCGTCGCGATGCTCTCCCCAGACGCCCTAGCGCGTCGCGATGCTGTCCCCGGACGCCCCAGAGCGTCGCGATGCTCTCCCCGGACGCCCCAGAGCGTCGCTATGCTCTCCCCGGACGCCCCAGAGCGTCGCGATGCTCTCCCCGGACGCCCTAGAGCGTCGCGATGCAATCCCCGGACGCCCCAGAGCGTCGCTATGCTCTCCCCGGACACCCCAGAGCGTCGCGATGCTCTACCCGGACGCCCCAGAGCGTTGCGATGCTCTCCCCAGCCGCCCCAGAGCGTCGTGATGCTCTCCCCGGACGCCCCAGAGCATCGCGATGCTCTCCCCGGACGCCCCAGAGCGTCGCTATGCTCCCCCGGACGCCCCAGAGCGTCTGCGATGCTCTCCCCGGACGCCCCAGAGCGTCGCGATGCTCTCCCCGGACGCCCCAGAGCGTCGCGATGATCTCCCCGGACGCCCCAGAGCGTCGCGATGCTCTCCCGGACGCCCCAGAGCGTCGCTATGCTCTCCCGGACGCCCCAGAGCGTCGCGATGCTCTCCCCGGACGCCCCAAAGCGTCGCGATGCTCTACCCGGACGCCCCAGAGCGTCGCGATGCTCTCCCAGCCGCCCCAGAGCGTCATGATGCTCTCCCCGGACGCCCCAGAGCGTCGCGATGCTCTCCCCGGACGCCCCCAGAGCGTCGCGATGCTCTCCCCGGACGCCCCAGAGCGTCGCGATGCTCTCCCGGACGCCCCAGAGCGTCGCGATGCTCTCTTCGGACGCCCCAGAGCGTCGCGATGCTCTCCCCGGACGCCCCAGAGCGTCGCGGATGCTCTCCCCGGACGCCCAGAGCGTCGCTATGCTCTCCCGGACGCCCCCAAAGCGTCGCGATGCTCTCCCCGGACGCCCCAGAGCATCGCGATGCTCTCCCCGGACGCCCCAGAGCGTCGCGATGCTCTCCCCGGACGCCCCAGAGCGTCGCGATGCTCTCCCGGACGCCCCAGAGCGTCGCGATGC